TTCCTCATCAAGTCTGTCTCACTTGTCAGGTGCCCATATGAACACGGAAGAAGGTTCTTCTCGTTCTTCCTTGGAAAAGGCTTCTAGTTCTGCAATATTCTTGATTCGTCTTGCATGCACAGATCTACCAACAGATTTTTTAATGTTGATAGGGTCATTCTAAAATCTTTTTGAATCCTTTGTCTGCATCTCTTGAGGTAGTCCATGGTGGATTTTGAGGTAAGATTAGGATCATTATCCTGTTGTAGAAGCCATCCCCTTTTCAGCTTACAGATGCTAATCATAGTATAATTTGCTTCCAGAATTTGCAGGGATTTACCGGAATCCATTCTTCCCTCCACCCGTGCAGTGTTTCCTGTGCCACTGGCTGCAACACAACCCCAGAGCATGATAGATCCACACCATGCTTAACAGTTACCAAGGTGTGTTTTTCATGAAATGCTGATGCTTTTGCTGATTTAGGCCAAAGAGTTGTATTTAAACTTCATCAGTCCACAGCACTGCAGGCGTCTGTAGATGTTCCATTACATACTTCTGACGTTGAATTTTATGAACTGGATGCAGGTAAGGTTTTCTTCTACTGAGTCTTCCATGAAGGTATGTATGTGCAAGTATGGCTGCACAGTGGAAATCATGAGTCTGTTAATTCTTCCTGCAGGTTTTTAGCATTCACATGGTGGTTTTGTTTTGTCTTTCTCACCAGCATATGAGCAGTTTTTTCAGAGTTTTCTTGGTCTTCCAGATCTCATCTTGACCTCCACAGTTTGCCTAAACTGCCATCTCTTTATTACATTTTGCACTGTGGAAACTGCAAGCTGACAACACTATCTTCGTGTAGCCTTCTCCTGCATAGTGGGCATCAGTAACTTTCATTTTCATTGACTTACACAGCAGCTTAGAGGAACCCATGGTTGCTGAGTGTTCACACAAGGTTCAAAAGCTTTGAAATTGGCACCAGCTAACGACAATTGTTGACATGCCTCAGTCCTAAGGATCTGATTAAGATCCCTGAAGATAATTGATTCTGCAGTGAATGGCAAATGCCATTAGGAGCACTAGGAAGAGCCAGAGGAACCTGATTTTTCACAGATTATCCGTCTCATACTACTGTCAGGATATAGTAAAAGTTTCAGCAAATATGATACATTTTTAAAAAAATAAAAGTTACCTACTGCAGCTTTAAATGCCGTTTACAGATGCACTCAACATCACAAAAACTGTGAAGGTAGTGAAAAGAGGACACCCACTGTTTAAAATATGTGTAAGTGAAGGTCTGCATCTTGAATAAGACAATTAGTTCCAGTGCAGTGAGAAAAAAAAACACACCATCACGAGTTTAAAATTAAATGGGAGTGAATACATAATATAAGAAAAACACTTTTAAAAAATATGTGTTTGATTGTGGCACATGCTGGAAACTGAATTGATGTGAAATTTAAAAAAAACGAGCAAACACTCAAATCACACTGGAATTATCCTTAATTATGTTCCCATGGTATCAACCTTCTGTTTTGCTAAATTGCCAGTCTGCCTTGTGTCCCTGGCAATATCAACACTGTATATCAACACAGTCAATCACAGTTAGACACACTCATAGTCATACACTAAATACAAAGACTCATTAATTTACTGGATGTGATGAAACTGTTACTTTTATCATTGAAACCATTCCATCACAGTCATGTATGGCTAATATGTGTCGCAGATGATGACTGTGGTACTCCAAAGCTGGATTTCAACTCTAGAGTTAACTGTGAGTGGCATCAGGCTAAATGGTTTTATAATACACACCATAACTCAGCCTCTGTGCAGGGACAGAAACATATTACTGTCCTTTTCAGCCACAGCTATTCAGCCTGTCCTCCATCCTGCCATATGACATCCATTACAATACTAGTCAATGAGATTCACAGAGTGGCAATGAAAGGTGCTCCTAATGTCAGCTTTCCTATCTTTGAAATGAAGTCAATGATTAAAAGGAATAAAGACGGGGAGCAATAGGCCATACTTGAGGTGACGGACAGGCGGCCAGAAAGCGAGAGGGAGTTCTTCAAGTAGCCATTCGCTGCGCGGCCACAAAATGACGGCCCCAATTATGTCTGAGCAGCCTGTGTGTGTGCAGAGGCAGCTGAGCAAAGCAGGAGAAAAATGAACCTGACTCGCACTGTTGTAATTAAGTATTACACACAAAATAATAGCTCACACACACATTGCTGGACTCATGTGTAAAGGCTGCTTCTGATCTGTGTTCATTTACAGCCCTTATTTCCACTTTAAAATCTTACACTTTTTTTGTCTTTTGGATTCCACTCAGTGGGTCTTGAATATGCTTAAAAAGGGCAGGCTTGTAGTTTGACAATGGGAATGTAAAGGCCTCAGTATGCTTCAAATGAAGCAGGGTGTGCGATGTTTTGTCCAACAAATTCCTAAAGCTGGTAGTAGTTGTAAAGTAGGTAACTTTTCATTGCTATTTTTCTTAATTTCACATCAGTTCAGTTTCCAGCATGTGCCACAATCAAACACACTTTTAAAAGTGTGTTTCTTGTATTATGTATTCACTCCCATTTAATTCTAAACTGTGCAAAAACAGATGGTGTGTTTTTTTTCTCACTGCACTTAAACTAATATTCTTATTCAAGATGCAGACCATCACTTAATACAAACACTTTGGGACCCTGGGAATGAGACTCAACTATCTTCAAGGCTCCAACCCAAAGCGTCTTTATATCTTTCTCGGCTCTGATTGGTTGTTCAGACCTGGTGGATTCTTGCAAATGTCATTAGGAGCACTAGGTGGAGTCTGTCAGATTATTTGTCTCATGTTCTACTGTCAGGATATAATGAAAGTTTCAGCGAATATGACAAAATGTTATATTTATTAAAATTACCTACTGCAGCTTTATGTGTTCCTACCTTGGCCACACTTAAGGTGGTGCCATTATATTCACTTGATTATTATGTCATTCTTTGTAATTTACAATCTTAAAACTCATTACTATCTTTTTATTTAATTTCTGTCAGCAATACTGTGGAATATGTTTACACTTATGTTTAGATTTACGTTGTATATAGGCGCTATTTTATTATATCTCTTAGGGTCTTATATTTCTATTTTCCATTTTTAGTTATACGTTTTACTATATGTATATACCTATACATTCATTTCTATTCTGTATATTGTGTTAGATATATTATATAAGTACTATTCTTTAACGTTGCGTGAGTGGAACAACTGTAGCGAACAAATTTCCCCCCAGGGATCAATAAAGTATTTCTGATTCTGATTCTAATTCTCACCCTTTTTGCATCCCCACTGCTCGTCCAATCCCTCTCCAAGAATTCTGGCTCAGATGTACTATAATAAATGCAGTTCTCAATCAATTAGCAACCACAGCGTGCAGTGTGTTTAGCAGCCTGCCCTGTCTCCTAGAAATTACATTGATACAGGGCAGGAAGAAGTGACTGTTAAAAATGTCAAGTGGCTAATCTTTTTCCAAAAATAAAATGTATCAATTTAACAATGCTATAGTTTTCAGAAAGGCTAAATAACAGCATGCCTACATTTTCAGAATGAAAGTGTACATGTATTCATCAGCACTCACATAATAATGTAGCAATGGCAGAACCCTAAATACTTTTCGATTTTATGAAAGATTGTCCGTCAAAATAAGCAGGAGGAGGTACATAATATAATAATATGTTTTTGAGGCTTGCAGTCTATTGACATCCTCCACTTCAATAGCTTAGTTTAGTTGTTTTGCAATGTGATGCCGACCAAATTACGTTTTCTATGAACACAAGGAAACGTTCTTAATTAATGTGTCTGGCAAGTCGCACAAATGTTGATAGCAGTGACTTGAGACATTTAACCAAAATCACAGTGTTTCCCTAACCTTTACCAAAGTGCTTTAGTTGTTAGTCTGGACATGAATCCTGGACTTGGTACGCCCTCCATCCACCACAACCAACTCCTTGTGACTCTAGCACAGTACAATGTAGTGACATCATTTCTGTGACACTTTTAGGGTTGTAGCATCTGAATTACCAAGAAGGCAGCTGGTTTACCTCCTGGACTGCAACTTTTAGGTAGGTCAGCACAGAGTGCAGCAGGTGGAGCTGGAGCCAATAAAGCGGCTGTTTCACTAGAATACTGATACATTCATAGGCATAAAATACTGTAAATGTCTTATCAAGAGACCGGAAAGCTACAACTCTCCACATCCTGTATATTTGGTATCAATATGTTTAGCGATAATTCTTGCTCTTTTTGCTTTCTAAGAATAAGATTTAGTCATAGGATTTATATATTTTTAGATAGCTGATATGGTGCAGGACATTTTGGTGCTGAGGCTACTCATTGAAATTGTTTTTTTTTTTTTCCAGACAACATCCTTCACCATCTTACATCCATCCAGCAGAATACAGAATTAACCTCTGTTAAAATGACTCCACGTATTATTCATAGTGTTTAAGAATCATGAGCTATCTGTATACATCGCTTACTGATACTGTGAGTCCTACAGTAAAGAAAACAGTACATGAGGTCTGTTTCACTTGAGCCTCCAGACAAATGAATCACTTTACCTTAAACCCATGTATGAATAGAAACATAGAACCATTGCTAAGCTGTGGGAATGCTGTAAGCCCTAATATGTTCACAGAACTCAAAAATTATTTTGTAACAGATTACATAACAATATTTTAGTGATGTTTTTAAATCTTTTAAGTTTACATAAAATATAAATTACATTTACAGTTGCCTTAAATTATCTCAATGTTATCTTATAAATATTGATATTCCTCAACTTATAATTAGGGAGTAATACATTCAAATTTTCAATATTTTCAACTCATATAATGTGGGAAATACACTCAAAGTTTCAGTAATTTTAAACTCATAATGTGGGACATGCACTCAAAATTTATTCTTAACTGATGTCGGCCCGCTACACAATTATAATCAGCTAATAATGTTAGAAAACATGAAAATGACACCACAGTGACAATTTAACAACTTTTTTTATTCAACACAATGTGCTTTTTAAAAGGCACGAATCAAAGGAGCTCAGTCAAAACAAAGTGCTCGTCATAAATTAAAATAAAAGGAAAAGGAAATGACTCCAGGAAAACAAAATGTGTTTTAAAGTACATTAAGTGTTAATAGTTCCATATTCTGATAGTGGTCATTGCTACAGAGGGTAGATTCAGTATTTTGGGTCTCCATCTCACATTATTCAGTAAACATTATGATAAAAACTCACAAAGGATTCGTGATAAAATTCAATAAGATTCTAAGTATAATCCATCCTCAACAGCAATGACAACTATTAGAATGTGGAGCCATTTAACACTGTTTAAAAACGTTTTGGCTCTTACTGTACCTTGAAGGCTGCAACTCACTTTTTTCAAATAAAACATTCAAATACAGTACTGGTTTCTACTGTGACGTACTTCAATTGGCAACATCAAGGTAGGCATTAGGCAACAGAACATTAAACATGTATAGTGCATGAATTGAACAGTCGTTTCCCGTACGTTTATTCAGTACAAAAACTTGGGCTGGGCAATAGGGTTAGCATTGGTTAAGATTAAGATTAAGATGAGAAAATAAAACAAAATGACACAGCCGGATTTATTTTAAAAGCAGGAGTTAAGAACACTGATTCCTGAACAGTTATCTAAAAACTTAACATCAGTCAACCTAGGGAGATCACTCACAACAATTTCATCTTCGATGAAAACAGAAATGCTCTTGGGGCTGAAATGAGTTGTGTTGTCAGTGACCACAGTAAGGAGACCCACAGGAGTGTCAGCAATGTCTGGCTCATCTTCTTGCTGCAAAATACAAACAATCCAATGACGAGGATAATTCCAGTAAAAAGGTTTAAAGTCATGTATCATTAACAATGGCAACATAATTCTAACTCAGACAGCTGAAGACTCATATTGGATTCAAACACACTTGCATAAAGAGATTTGCATGAAACAAGAACTGTGGATTTCTCTCTAATTTGGAGTGGAGGTCCCCAATCAGTCTTTCATTGTACATACCACATTTTAGCATTATACTGAGAAAAAAAAAAAACCTATCCATCGATTTGAACCTGAAAAAAGGCGTTAAAGTTGGTTTCCCATACTATATTTCATGGTACATGTCATTGATATTGACATTTCTATGAGTAAATACTTACATTCCAGGTCTTGAAGAAATCAGAGTCATCCTCTCTTAGGTACACCGGAAGGGCACGAAGGGCCAGACTGCGTCTCATGTTTACATCATGTTGTTCCTAGATTGACAACCAAAACATAGTAATCATTATAGAAATATTTACCAGTATATCAAGCCAGTTCAACTTACAAAATCATCAAATCATCATCAAGAACCATCATTGTGCTCACAGCAAAGTTAATCTTAAACTCACATGGCGGTCATAAATCCTGAAGATCTCTCGGAGTGCCTCCGCTGTCTTGCCTGTCCGTGAGCTTCTTTTGTTGGTTTTTTACTCAGCAAACACCTGCAGACATACAAACACATGAATGTATATAGATTAATGTAGGTTTTTCAACTTTTGTTTTAAGAGGAAAACATAATGCATCCATTGCAGCAAAGCTAGCAGTTTTTCCCTGTGACTGTGCTGCTCTTGAACTGTATCACGTTATACTGAGGTGTTTCTATTATTTTTTCCATCCCATTTATATCAATGAGGCCATGCTAAATAAAGACACCTCTGTGTATAACGCAATATAGTTCACCAGACCACAAACTACATCCTATAATAATAAAATAAAACTACATTCAACCATCAACACTATGTTAGGATACATCTTACCGAGATGAAGCTCGAGGAAACTCTGTGCTTCTACTTGAACCTACAAGGAAAGATCAATTACAACAGATATAAGTGAACCTAAAATACATACAGTACTTATCAAACATGTTAAATAGTTACACTATATACTGGTTCAGTCAAGCTATATATGGAAACACTAAATATGTTTGTTGTGTGTTTATCATTTACTCAACTTGTATATGTTTACTTTTCCATATATTTGTACTATCATAATAAATGCCATACTATGCGTCAATATATCTTTCTAATGGTAATTGATTTTTTAAATATATATTACTATTGTATCATTCTTTCTCTCTTTCCTTCCTCGTGCTTTATCTGATGTTAAGAAAAAAGTTTAAACTAAGCTCTGTTGTTCCTCACCATGAAGGTTTTCACTATAGATGCAGAGTCTGACTGTCTGTACGGTACCGGGCTAACAAACAGCAGCTCCTAACGGTGCAATTCAAACTTCAACGTGTTAGCCGCTAACACGAACTAACTTCAATAACGTTAGCTTTTCTGTTAACTTTACTGCGCCTGACGACTTATAACCGACATTTTTAAACTTTTTACTGACCAGACCAAAGCACCTGTAAGAAAGGACAGCAGCAGAGTTCAAAGTTACCGCTTACAGTCAGAGACATAACGTCGACGTTACGTTACTCTTTAGCTAACGTTAGCGCAACAGTAACGCACCAAACTGCTTCTTCATACTGATAAACCGAGTGCAAACAAATCTTTCTTTAACAGCGCTACGAATATGTTTGTATTCTCTTGACTTTTGTAACTTACCCACGGTAAATGAGAAGTTTTCCACCGTTCCTTCAGAATTCTTCTCGCTCGCCAAACGGTAGCCATCTTGAATATTTTAGAAACGTGAAGTCTGAGCCTAAACGTCGTGGCGTCGATGACGTCAGACGCTACGTCCCTCCGTTAACTCAGAAGTTAGGATTTAGACACAAATGTTCACTCAGAAAAATGTATCCACATAAACTTAAAACAACATCAGTAGTTAACAGCACTTAATAGTTGTGTGCTCTGTTGACTCATTAGCTGGTTTTGAGTTCTGTGCCCATATTTCTTATGAGTTAGCAGGACTGTTGGGGCTTACAGTGTAGTAATGATCAGCAGTACCCTGATTTATTGTAATGCCCCTGAGGAGTTAGTGAATGTAACACACAAGTTGATAGACAGACTGTACCAGGAAGGGAGGATAACGGATTCATCTGAGTTTTAAACCTTTGCATTTTAATTATCTTTAGCGGTGGGAAAACCAAAATCTTTATTTAAAGTCCCCCTCCACTCAAAAATCTGTGTTTCTTCTTCTTCTTCTTACAGTGTAATGTTTTAATGCTGTCTGTGCAGAGTTTGACACTAAAAGGATGTTTTCACATTCATCTGCTGAAAGTGGAAAGTTTCTCTGTGCTGAATGAACATCATTTTAAGATACAAATAGTTTGGAAGTTAGTCCTGGTCCAGTATGCAAATTGTACAGTGTGATGTAGAAACTTGAAGCCACCAGTGCACATCCACTGATTACGTTATAGTGAAGTAGGAGACATCTTGTGTCCAGCAGCAAAACTTGCATATTCAGAGATTGTGGCAATTCTGGAAATCGGAAAACTGGACATTTTCTTTGTTTTTCAGAAAAACACATCAGACATACATTATTGTTCTAAACAGACTATTTGTTTATGCTGTGATGCATGTCTGGAGGGGACCTTTAAATTTATCCTAGCAAGTATGGCCATATCAATCATAATCTTTCAGTCTGTTCTCTTACATTGCTATTAGTCTACATGAGGCTTCACATCAATGGAACAGCGAAAATGGCTTTGGCTTAGCTAAGGATACAGAGCATTCTATGGGGGATTTATTTCATTGGTTACTTCCGCCGTTCATTGGAATCATCTGTTATTGGATACTGCAACTGATCTGACACATGAGGCTGCACTGAAACTGCAGTGTAGGACTAACAGCCTGGATAGACAGGCAACAGCACAAGCTCAGGTGTAACCATTCCAGTTTTCACATGTTATTATTTCTCTTCCTTATCTAATTAAAATGATTGGATCTTTGCTATATGCAGGTCTGAATTAAGGAACCATAAAACCAATTTTCCTACTCTTCTTATATTCTTTTTCACTGAAAGGCTTCTTTTTACTCTCTTATCTCATATTTTCCCTTTAACACGCATCTTGGTTTAAAGTCAATCCGTGATAAATTACTTTCAGCCCTGGGCTGAAGTTTAATTTTCATTTTGGGCTATTTTTGTTTTAACTGTTTATCAGAACAGAAGCTCACCTGTATAACAAAGTAATTAGCCTGCAGATTATATTTAGAATATTATCTGTTAATGTTAATAAACACTTTTGATTTTGCTGTCATTTTTATCATCAGGTATGAAGCAATTAATCCCAGAGCATATAGGGCTGTAACAGTTATGATGTAGGCCACTTCTGAAAATGGTCATTATATAATTCCTACACATCAGGGCATCATGCTTTAGATTCGTGAAAATGATAAAAATGACAATCTAAATAAATTCATGCAGATCAAAGTAATTGCAAGAAAATTACACTATAATATACTCCTTCACAAATATAGTCAATATTTTATACTTCCATACATTTTTACATGATTAATGATTTCTTTCTGTGACTTTTATTTCAACAACAATTCCAATCATCATCTTAACCTGCAGCCATAAACTGCACCAGCAAAAGTCAATAACAATTGAATGTGCTCAGATTGGAAATATGGAACCATGTTGATGAATGGCTGGCGTCTGGAGTGGGACATCATAGATTAACTATGCAAGCATGAGAAATACACTCGCAAACTGAACTATGGTTTATTAGATCTGTAAGATATTGTCTGAAGAGAGCTGTGTTCATGTGTGAATCTCTGAGAAACTACTCATCCAACAGTTCATTATAGGAAACAATATGCACAGCTACTCCGTAGCAGTTAAGGCCCACTGGCAGGTGGTCCAGCTGTGCAGCCTTCATCAGTAACTGACGTTGCTTCAGATGATGCTTGACAGGGATTTGGGTGATAAGAGAGGAGGCTCACTGGCTGACAAAAGGGCGTAAGAGGTGTTAATGGAAAATGAAATGCACTCTGTGCTGAATCAGACAATTGGCTGACGTATAATAAATTCTGAATTATCTAAGAAGGTGATGCAAGTTGAAACAGTGTTTGTACTCCTATGCTTGTTTTTTAGACCCGGTTTAATTAACTCTTGAGTAATAAATGTAGTTTTATTTGTTTTGTTAGATAATCTACTCTCCATTAATGAGAGAGCTGTGAAACGCTGCAGATTGGGTTGTTGATCATCAGTGTGATCTGCACTACTGGCAGTCCTTTCACAAAACAATGACATATTTGAATAATATTTGTTATTACTTGACATTCAGTCAAAGGAGGTGTCACATTTGGGCTTTAGTTCTAGGGCTAGTTCTAAACTGAAATGGCCTTTAAACTAGATAATTCAGACACTGTAATTGTGATAAAACAGATTGCGTTTCCTGGAGGAAAATTACAGTTTCTCAAGTAAAGAGATTGGTTATTGGAAGGTTACTCTGACGTCACTGGGAGAGTTAGAAAAAAACTGTGAAGAAAGAAGTGAGCTCACCAGACCTCTGTAGCCCACTCTTTATCTCTGCTGTAGGCTAGAGGCTCCAGGCTACATGAGCCGAAACTACCATGACACAAGTTATCTACAGTGTAGGTAATATAGGCGCCAGGTTTTGACGAGGAGTGTGTGGATTGGAAAAGATCAAAGCTCTGGTTCTGCTGAATCAATTTTGCTCAATCAAAAACTGCCCATCTTGGGTCCATCAACGTTATAGGAGTCCAATGGAAAATCAGCAGTCATTTCTTAATGCAGTCTTTATGTGGTGATAAATGGGTTAGTTGGTCTGTTTCAATTAGACCAATGTGCCCCACCACCCAGAGAACATTTTTACATGATCCAAACAAAAAAAACACAGCGGAGAAATTTCAGTGCTGGGTTCATGTGAATGCTGTCTTGCATTTGTTTTATATGATTACCTGACAAAATGTTTTTTTCTATATTCATTAGACAATTTGAGGTGTGTGAAATCACACACTCGTATAATTCCACTGTAGTAGTAATAGTGATAGTGGAAACTACAGAAGATGGCAGACAAACGTAGCACATCCGAGCGTATACCCCTTAGATTTTTTGGTTTATTATCTAACGTCACCCCACCTTACAGTTCAGTCCATTATTATCAAATATAATTATTTATTAACTGTTTGTTCAGTAAATGTTCATATACTACTTCTGCTGAATCCTCCTGTGTAGCTTGCAGATAGGAATGCTACTTGTTATGGTCCTCTAGTGGTTGGCAGAATGAATAACTAGATACATTTGTCCCACAGCGCCTGAGGCTGACAAGTAATTAGTAACTGGGTAAAGTAATTTTTACGTTACTTTTAAGTAAGTAATTTAATTACTTTTAAGAGACGAAACTAGTAGCTGTAATAATTACAGTTTTTTCAGTAACTTTCCCAACACTGGTGAAACCACATTGTTTGTAATATTATACCAGGCTAATAGTTCCCGTTTCCAGTCTTTGTGCTGAGCTAGACTATTTCTTAAAGTCCAGATAAAGC